TTTCAGAACCTGCATATCGGATCTATAACTTCTCTCATTTAAACAATAGATAGTTTTCGACTCCAAAGTTACTTCCCATTGGCCGCCATACTGGAGGTCCAAATGCTCATATCCCTTCATTATTCATCCAATTTAAAATTTTTATATTTGCTATTTTGAATTAGAAATGTTATTTTTCTGAAGTATATAAATTTTTGGAAGCCTTCTTTATTTTAAAAAAAATTATTTGATAAAGATTTTCCACCAAATATTTCTGCTATATTTTCTTAAGGTAGAGATTGATAGCTTATCAACAAAAAAACTACCCATTGAATTTTTCTGAATTTTTTATATGTTTGTGTTGAGTTTGTTCTAAATCATATCAAAAATTCAAGGCAGGCATCGGGCTAGTTTTAGAGAAATTTGACAATTTCAATATAGCCTTCATCAACCACCGAAGAGCTGAAAATCAGTGTAAAATAATATAAGAATATGATATGAAAAGGGCTGTAAATTTTTTATTGCTTTATCAATTATCATTTGTCTTATATGAATTCAAACATCTGTCTGTATGGATTAATATTTGACATCAATCTTGAATTTATCAAGCATTGTAAGCAAAAAACAGAATCACATTTACCAAGATGCATGGTCAAATTAGGTTAAAATATTGCCTACTCATTGCACAAAGTCTCACACTTCTGCCTCCACTGTGAAAAAATTACCCATCAAATTTCTTTTTTTTATTGCATATAATAGTTAGCCTATAAGTGTCTTAAATTATAGAAAAAAATCATACTACATAATGGGGTTTAAATTCAACCTGGAACAAGTTTATTATCTTACACCCTACCCCACCCCCTTCCTTTTGAAAGATGCAATTTTGAAGAATATGGTGATGAAGAGAGATTATCAAGAATTTATCAAAATATTTCACAGAAAATGAGTAAATTCTTTGTAATATTCTTCTTAATTACATTTTGTATCACAAAAAAAATTTATACATGTACACCTAGATATAGTTGCCCTGGTTGACCTTTTTGCACTTATATTAAAAAAGATAAGAATTTTTCCATTATCGTTCAAATTGACTTTCATAGATGGAATTAATCAAAATATTTCAAAGAAAATTAGTAAAATTCCAAGTAATATTTTTAAATTACTTTCTATATCACAGAAAACAATTTATACATGTACACCTAGATATACGTTGCCCTGGTTGACCTTTTTGCACTTATATTAAAAAACAAAAAAAAATAAAAATTTTCCTTGATATCATTCAAATTGACTTTGCAGTTTATTATACATATGATTTTTGGATAATTAAATGACAATATGTTTTGACCAATTCTGTGCATTATAAGTAAACTTTTTTATTATCTTCCTTTGCAACAATGAATGATTAATTTCATTTTTTTAAACAATGTTTTTTTAGTCCAAATACATATACAACATAAATAAGAAAACCCAGTGATTATGAAGTTTTGAACACAGAATCAATCCATGGCATGTTATCCTTGTTTTAAAATTATTCAGCAAAAAATGTGTTATGTATTACACTGTTAAATGAAGACTGCCTGGTCATAGTTGTCAGATATTAATACACTAAAGCATGGTAAAAAAATCTAAATACATTAAAAACGGGGAAAAAGGGGGATTTTTTATAACATAATTAAAAATATTTTTAATTTTAAAAAAAAAAAACAATTATTAAGGAATAATTTTTAATTTAAAGTATGTTTCAAACGTTTAAAAAATCCCCCCATAACCTTTTTAAATAAAATTTTAAATTATGATTATTAACAAAAAAATAATAATTAGTACATTCGGCAATAGGGTAAAAATTCTTTTTGCTGTTTCCTGTTGGCTAACAAAGTAAAGTCTGTTTCTTTTTAAAGATTGTAGCCATTTGGCATGTTAAAGGGCCCGGTTTGTTTTTTTTAAGTCAATAAAAAATTTCTTTCACAAGGGTCGATAGCAAAACATTTTATATTTCCCAATTTTAAGCAAATCTTATTGGGGGATATGTGTTTTTTCTTTTTCCCTTTTGGATTTTTTTTCTAAAAGAACAAAATATTTTTAAAACAATAAAGTAAAAAATTTTATTTTTAATGAAACATGATGCTTTTAATGAATCAAGACCTTTTTAGATAATTTTTATAAATGTATGAATTTTTTTAATTAAAAGTTAAAGTAAGCCTCATTAATTGGGGGCATTTCTCCCCAAAAAATTTTTTATTAATAACTGTCTTTAATTAAAAAAACTTTCAAGGATAAAATAAATATTTTTTTCTAAATGTAGGCCCCAACTAACCAAAAATGGGGGAAAGGAAAAAAAATAAAAGTGAAAAACAAAAATCGACAAACTGTTCAAGATTGATACCAAAGGATAAATTTTGGGAAATAAAAAAAAATTCCCGTGTACACCAAAGATTTAAAAATTAACCCAATTTTATTGGAACTAAAACTTTTTGCTAACAACAAATAAGGTCTTTCTATTTTTTGTAATTTTAACAATAAGAAATATTTTTGGGGAAAAAAAAATACTCAAAAATTTTTTTTCTCTTTAAACCAAATTAATTTTTGCCGGTATGATAATTTGAAACTCAAATAAAATGCAATAAAGGAAAAAAAAAATTTATAAAAAAATTAAATTTCATTTTTTATATTTGGAAGGAAGTGACACACATTTAAATTAAAGGATTTGTTTCTATATGGTTTCCACACTAGTTTTTGTCTTTTTAAAATCTTCCATTAACGAATTAGCAATGATAATTTGATTTTAGGACAGGAAGTAGCAAACCGGGAAATAAATTTTTTGGGTATTAAAATTATTGATTTATTTTAAAAAATACAAAAATCATTAAAATATTTAAATTAAATATATTCATGGGAAAGAAAAAAACTCAAAACATGTATTTTTTTTTTAAACGGAAGTTGATATTTTTTTTCCCTTGGGATGTGCTTTTGAAACAACAAATAAATAATAAAGTGATGCAAAAAAATTTAAAAGAAGAAAAGTTGAAATTTTTTATTTTTTGATCAATATGGACAAACCCGGGAAATGACAGCAACGATTTGTTTAAAGGGGTTTCCTTTATACCATATATACTTTAATTTAATTTTTTTAAACCCCACCATTTCATATTAGCAATGATAATTCTAATTTTTTAAGACATATTGAAATATGGGGGGAATAATTTTTCAAAATTTAACTTTTAAATTTCATCTAAATAAAAATTCCCAAAAAACATTCAAATACTTTTTGAAAAATTTTTTGGGAAAAGAAAAAAAATAAAATTAAATTTCCCTTTATAACCGGGAAGGTTTTTTTTTTTGGTGGTTTGAAATTTTCAAAAAAAAATAAAATGCTATAAAGTTGAAAAATTATGAAAAAAGTTGAAATTTTATTTTTTTTACTTTGGAAACCGGGAAAATGTGGAGACATCTTTTCACCGTTGATTTTGCCTACTAAAATTATACTTAATAAGTTTTTTTAATTTTTACCGTTAACAGATTTTAAAGATAACTTTATTTTGAGGGCCGGGGAAAACCCTACCGGAAGTAAAATTTTCGAATTTATTTGTAGACTACTTTTTAATAACATATCCAAATTCATTTAAAAACATTAGTATGAAAAATATTTATGGGAGAGAAAAAAACTAAAAATATATTTTTCTTTTAACCAATTTTTTTTTTTTTGGTGGGACTGATTTATTTTTAAACTACAAACAAGATGCTATAATGTGATGCAAAAAAATCTTCAAAAAATAAAAAGTTGAAAATTTAGATTTTTTTTATCACTTCCTGTGACGACCGGAAGTGACGGCGGATGATGTTAACCCAATTGGTTTTGCCTACTAATCAAGATCTATTACTCATATACGTTTGGTGTCGTAATCTTTTACTGTTTCTGAGATATACTAGACAAAACATTTTTGAAAAAGCGGAAATCAGACATAACTGACGACCGGAAGTGAATTTTGAAAAACTGAAAACCTCATTTGAAAACTATTTTAACTCTCTATAATCCCTGAAAAATTTCATCTGAATCCATCCAGTCATCTCTGAGAAATCGACAAAACAAAAAGGGAAAAAATTAATAATAATAAAAAGAAAAAACAGTAGAATCACTATAAGGTCTTCCGTCTGAAACGGAAGACCTTAATTAAAATACTTTTGTTTTTACATCTTATTCCATTTTTTTAAAATTCAGTTTTGTCCCTAATTACCTTTTGATATAAATCCAATATTCTTTTGTAACACTGCAGATGACACTTGATTAGCCAAGGATCCATATTTCCATGGGATCTGTAACATGATGAAAATAAAATAAAGTAAATAGATTGATCTATTTAAAAAAAAAGATATAGAATTTATTAACAATTTTGATTTATTTTGCAAATTTAGCTATGATAATGTGAAAGAGTAATATTATTAAAAAACCATGTCAATTACAATTTTTTTTTAACAATACTGACTTCTTCATATTTCATACCAATTCTTTAGTGCTTTAGTTAAAACAATTTCATTCAAGTTAGAAAACATCTTTACATTTTACAATTATTTTGGTTATTAATTTTAATTCAATTTACAACATGACTTTTTATATGTTTATACACAAAAAATTTAAACCCATATATGTGTTTAAGTCAATAGAACACCTACTTGTAAGTAGTGATGCAGGGATCCCCGGTTAGATTCTCAGTACAGCCATACTTTTCCCCTCGTTTCCTGACACACAAGTATGCCACTTTATGTTCAGTTTGCTGTCGCAGATCTGGCTTGAACTTTCCTAAAATATTAATATGATCTTCGAGAAATTATTGACTTTGTTAAGAAAATGCTTCTATATGTATACAATAATACTGTTTGTACATTATGGTGTTCAAATTAAAAATACAAGGACTAAAAATCATAAATTAAAATTTTTAATACATGTATGATAAAACACCTCCTGTTTACCACCCCCTTGAAAAATATTTCTGTATTTTCCCTGATATACATGTATGTGCAAGTGTAAATTGAAAGAAAAAAATACAAACCAATGGCTATTTTGGAGTTAATGTAAAAAGCACCCTTGACATTCCTCTTTCCAGGTAACACTTGATTTGGTCACATTATTTCAGCAGAGAAAGCTGAATACACTGTCTAGTTCATAGCTTGCTTCACCTGTAGTATTAAATGTTTCTTTTATAATCTATGAATATGATATCTGTTTATAATCAGGGCCCTTTTGAGCATAAAACAAATACATACATAAATTTATTACAGGTACATAAATATTACATAAGGCTAAAAAAAAATAGTTTTTTTTTTTCCTGTACACGACTATCTAATTTTTTGTCACTTGATCCTAAAGTTGTTTCTTTTTTTTCAATGCAACTTTTTATAATTTGCTTGTCATTTCATCATTTATAAAAGGCCGGGTGATAATAATTAAAAAGCATCCGCCATCCAAAGCAGAGAAAGTTCATACATTTCTGCATTTGAAAAATTTAAGCAAAATATGTATTTTCCATTTTTTGATCTGAGTAACTAAACACCACCTCGTGTGTTAGGCACAGATAAGTATAATTACTTTTCATTTTTTACCTATCCGGCCTTTATCATGTTCTGACACCAGAAACGTCCAGCTTTATTTTTCTATTCTAGAAGTTACAGTCTGGCCAGGAAATAAGTTTTAATTTTTAGCTAAATAAAACTATGACTTTAGAAAGGGAAAAAAAAATCTATGTAGGTTATTGGTAAATATTTACATCCACTGAATATTTTCTTCTTTATTTCTTAAGAAACCCCATTGCGTTCATCACTGCATAAACTACAGTAGGCATGTCGCCTGTACAGATTTCTTAATCAGTGGCTGTTCCATCAATGAAACGTATAAAGACGTTCGCATCATTAATACAATAATTAATCTTTTTAATCCTACTTTAATTGATTATTTAAACAGATATAAATATAAACAATAAAATGCTTTTTATTTGTTGTTACTGGAATGAACGGTTCGCTTCATTAATACAATAATTAATCTTTTTAATCCTACTTTAATTGATTATTTAAACAGATATAAATATAAACAATAAAATGCTTTCTTTATTTGTTGTTACTGGAATGAACGGTGCAGCTATTGCAGAAAAAATTAACATATCCTGCTTACGCGGGTTATGTATTTTTTCTGCAACAGCTGCTTCCGTTCATTCCAGTAATAACAAACAAAGAAAGCTTTTATTGTTTAATTGAAGCTAAATATACTGGTACCAGACGTGCGTAAACAAACAAGCACCATGGTCATGATCGATATACTAAAGTCGTGAATATTCACCTTATGTATCTGGCACGGACACAGCATACAAAAAATCTTTTCTGCAAAAATTTTACTTCTTCCGTCATACAAATTAACATCTGTAGGGTCATGGTCTTTAAAATGTCTATACAGTCGATACCGGTGTACCCACGTGGTGCTGCAGCGGACACTGGACAAGGAGTAGTTTCACCAAAATTATGTTCATGTTCGGCTTCAGTATCACTTCTATTTTGATTCTCATGAAGATTCTTCAATGTCGAAAACCGTAAAGATTTAAAACGTACGTTAACTTCAACTTTGTTTTTTTAAGTCGAGGAAATATTTCTCGATCGCTTCGTCGGCCATCTTGTAGCATAGACAATAATGTGTAAATGGAGATTTTATTTGACGGCATTCCGGAATCCGGAAAAAAAGCACGTGCAATTATGCGAATTCTTCCTATCACGTGATTGCTATCGGTATCTCAATCTCTCACCAGAGGGCGTTTTACGCTCATCGCTCCAACACCTCTGTTATCGTCTAAATTACAAGAATCTTGTAAAACGTAAATAAATTATAGATTTCCACCAACTTGGTATTTTTTCTTAAATGAAATTAGAAATATCAATCTGTAGCACTTCTTTTGTTCTTTCAAAATTTATATATATATTAAAATAGCTTCAAATATACTGCACTATTTTGTTCTGATTTTTACACATATTTTCATTTTTGAAACCAAGGAGACAAAAGTCAGGAAATATCTACTACCAGAGAGCTTAAAACACGTAACATCATTGAGAAATCATACAAAACAATCAATGTCTAACAATTTTGTCGACAAATAATTATTTGACAACCCGCGCTACTTTTTAGACGACAACAGAGGTGTAAGCGGAGCGCGCCCTCTGGTGAGAGATTGTCGGTATCTACCTTAAACTTAGCCTTAGTACATAAATCCTCGAACCGTTTCATGCTTCGTAACGCAGTGGAGTAGGCTGTGACGTCATAGCTACCTTAAACTTGGTAAGACAAAGGGTTACAGACTACTAATTTTACCCCTATTTCATTGACCACTCAAGTAGTTCCAGTTTAAAAATAGAGGTTTTTTCTTAAAAATTCTTTGGGGTGTTTATGGGGTGGACTGATGTTATTTTTGGGTATAGATGGAAAGGAGAGGGTTTGAAAAAAAATATAAAATTGTTAATATGTGAAATTTTGCACTTGCGCGCGTAGTAGGAAGGGTGTAAAGAGGCCCCTATTTACCCTTTCCCCGAAGAGAAAGTGAAAAAAGCAGGGTAGGGGTTATTTGCGATGCCTTAGCAGGAACTGCATGCGATGAATTTTCCTGAGAGTCTGAAAAATTTTTGGACTTGAATTCTTCTTACTCTGTGCCAAGTTTCAGGTAAGTTGAGCTGGTGTAATTTTTTTAATCATTTTTTATAGTATAAAGGAATGTATAGCAAAATAATTGGTAGTCTGTGTCCTATGAGGTCAAAGGTCAAATCTCACGTTAATCAATTTACTGGCACTTTTTGGATAATTTGGAACTAATTATGCAAATTGTTGACAAATTTTATGGAAAAAATTGTATTTTGGAGAAGTTAAATGGATTTAAATAATTGAA